GCAACACCTTGTGTGCAGCTGCAGAAAGAGGGACAGAGGAAACCCAGCACAGCTCCACTCCCACGGGCAGCTCTACAGCTTTCACCAGCCCATGCTGCTGGAGAGACAGCTCTGGGATAGTTTTTCTTGATAGTTCTTGTTAAATCAAGAAGCATGTCTGCCCACCCCAATCAGACCAAGAGGATCATACCAACAAACCTCCAGCCTGACACAATTTGCTAAGTATGGCTTGTTATGGGGCAGCACAGCTCAGGAAGTGTTACTGAGAAGCCAGAGTCCCTACAGACCTGTCCCCTCACAGCTCTGCCTTGGGCAGTCTCCTCCTGGACAGTATGGAAGAGCCTTATTTCTTGTGGATGGGTGGGTGAACAAATGAAGGACCACATCATATCCAAACACTTCAGTGATGTAAATAAGCAAGGCTGGTCTGAGAAGTACCCAGCTCCCGCTCGGTTGGTGGAGGTCCAGCTTTTCACAGGCTGTTGTCTCTATCACAAAATACCCAGCGCACCAGAGATGGAAATGCCTGACTTCCCTGCGGCGTGAAAGACAGCAGGGGGAAGCTTGTGCCAGCCGCGATTAGAGAGCACTGGGCTCTGGGTTGACAATTGCACATCGTCTCGAGGTACCACGCAAATTACAAACCCTTTGCTAGAGGCAAGCTGCGTGGCCAGGCACTGGAAAGGATTGTGAAGAAGTCATGCTCAGCTGGGAAGAGCCTTGGGAGTGCAAACTATTTATTAAATCAAAAGAGACAAACAGCTTTTAATATATCATGTTATGAAGTGAATCAATTCTTATCATTTTTAATAAGGCAAATTTAAAACATTGTCAGAAGAGCAGGAAGGGATCTATTCAAAGCAACTGTAGGCTCTCCACAAGCAATCCCAGCCTGTGTTTATTATGGGTATTACCACATTTCTGCAAGATGCAAAAATAAGAATCAACAAAGCACAGCCTGCTGTATCAAATTGCTTTGTACTCTAAAAAAGAGCCAAAAGGGAGGGGGAGCTTCAGGAATGCTGAAATGACATCAGCTCTTCTCTTGATCAAAATCAGGACCGAACAAGTAGAAGTATGTGATCTCAAGTGCTCGATGCCAAGTGACCCCATACCAGGAAATTCTGAGAGCTGTATTATAGATTGAGCCTGACATTTATCAAGCAGCAGCAAAGAAACACATAGTGAATGTATGGGGGTTGGCTGGAGCTGGCAATAGGTGGCCGTGAAGAAGCTTGGTCAAATGCTAGGATAACTGTGCAGCTTGAGAACGTGTGAATAAATCCCATTAGGCGTGACTAATCAAAGACTTGGAGGGGAATGGTCTGATAATGCCTGTTGTCTGCCTTCTTGGCATGGCTTCTTTATGCCACTGAATGTTTTGGACTGAGGTTTTCAGAGGAATTGAAGCTCCGCATGCCAGTCATCTGTGTTTGGTGTCCAGCCACAAGAACACCCTCTGCTTGAGCTCACTCCTGCTGTTACCAGCCACGCTCTGGGGAAATAAAAAACAAGCAAGCAAACAAAATCTCTGGTACAAATTTAGGAGAGCTGGACAAAAATTAATCAGAGCTCATCTCTGGAACACTCTTCAAAAGATATTAGCTGAAAGCAAGTCGAAGGCTATCATCCAAGAACAGCAATGGAAAAACATCCCAGAGACACCAGTTACAGCAATCACTGCAACGGTTAAGGAAGTATGAATAGGAGAATATGGTGCTTTGTGCCTTCCCCCTCCAAGTCCTTATTTCTATCACAAGATGCTTTGCCACAGTGCACGCCCCTACGAACAGGTTGTACAAGGTAAAAAAAAAAAAAAAAGAGCCCCCTGCCTCACACACAAACAAGGAATTAGTTTTTCTTGATGGCCAGTTTGCCCACACAGGTGAAATCACAGCACGAAACCCCACTGAAAATCAGCACTCTATTGCACAAACAGGAACATAACCCTAGAAAAATGATGCACCATTTTGCACTGGAAGAGCCTCAGCTGAATTATTTTGTCTAGTTGTGCATCACACAACAGGTCCAGAGGAAAACAAGAACAGCCTAGGAAACTAGTAGAAAGCAAGACTGAATGAAATGGGACTTTTTGGCTTAAAAAGAAGAGCAATAGTGATGAACTTCAAATGCATAGCTGGCTTCCCTGCGAGGAGGGAAGGTAGGACCTGCTTTCCATGCCTTTGAAAGATCAAATTGGAAAAAATGAGCTTGAACCAGATCAGGGAGGGCACAGAATACACATGCCTCTGTATGACCCATTATAGCTTTCTCCTGCTCCTTCTTGGGGTTCATATTTATGGAAGCAACGCTTCACGTCACACAGCCAGAGAAGCACCTTCACTATCAAATTGATGGTTAAATGAGAATTCAAAGGAACGCTTAAAAATTTCATCAATGCCACTTGGACATATGCCTTCAGGCTGTTTATCTTTAAATGAGATGTCACATGTAATTTAGTGGCGAGATTAAGTATTGTTTTTCACTTTTAGTTGCATTGCTGTGGGCAGCCCTGTATCAGTGCACACCTTCATTCTTTATTAGGTAAGATAAATGAAAATGGCACCATTTTTCTGAATTAAAGTCCAAATATCTGACATGTCAATACTGTCTAATGGAACAAAGCACTACAGATTCCTAGAGCAGGTGTTTAATTTGCATGTTATTACTGACAAGCAAGATTAATGCTTTACTAAGTACTTATGCTGCAATAATGAGAGAAGCAGAGGGGGGTTATACTCAAAATGAGTAACAAGGACAAAATACTGTAAATTCCTTTTAGTCCTCAAGTTGTTTTGTCTTTAGAAAAGAAGTCTCACAGCTCTGGTGGTGAGGCTTTTCTGGGGATTTATTTGCAGAAAAAGCAGTCTGGGTCACACCACCCAGAAATCCTACAGGTTTTCCCTACAACCAAAGCTGTGGAATGGTGGTGATGTTCTTGAAGGAAACAGGGATGTTACCTACTGCTCCACCTCCCCAACCGCTCCTTCATCCAGGAACCCTTGTGCAGGGAGACAAAGCTTACACCTCACCCCTGAGGCATTCTGCCCCCCCCAGGACATTTCTTTCTACACCACAAACTGGCTCTCAGACTGCTTCCTACATATGCATATAACAGCAGAACATAACAAGAATCCAAACTGCTTCTGGAGTAATAAAAGAAAAGCTGAAGTGTAATTAAACTACAGCTCTGGGCCATTTGTTTTACAGGAAATCTTCTGCTCTGCAGAGACTTGCTGCAAAAACGTGGCAGGATCAACCCTGCTCTCAGCATCACCACATGAACCTGGAGCCTCTGCCCCTGCTTCAGGAGAGCTCCTCTGTACACATCCTGGTCCCATCATTTTGACAAGAACAGCAGGAAATATACTCAATTTCAATTTGAAAAACTGTATGAGCTCACACATGCTGGGTATCCAGCTCCTGTTCTCCACTGCTGATCAAATTAGAGAGGACTTGTTCTTCACTGGATATAAGAAAAGCCAGAGGACTGCACTTGTATCAAGAATCTGCCATTTCACAGCAACCAAAGCCAAACTAAGAGCTTTCCCCCTCCACAACTGCTCCCACTTGCTCTGCATACTTGCCCAGCTTCATCTCACTGCAGCACAGACCAAAACCAGCAGGCCAGGCCCTTTCCCTGGCACACAGCAGCGATGCTCTGCTGCCTTTGGTTAGCATGAGCACCACAAGGCCAGCAGCAGCAATAGCCCAGCGCCAGTGGGGCAATAGCATTGGATTGTCACAGACCCAGTGCCTTTAGGTTTTGATTTCTAAAAATGTTTAGGTGTAAACTCACCATGAGAAAGGCAATGACTGCTCCACAAGGCCACATCTGTGCTTGGACATTTTGGCAGCAATTTGGGGTCTTGTTTTTTCCCTGGCACCTGTAAGGATGGTGTTGGTGATGTGCCCAGGAGAGGGATCTTGCCTTTAAAAGCACACCACAGCACACCTTCCAGACCTTCATTACCTGATCTCCCATTCATTTTCCATGAAAGGACTTTTACTGTTTTGCAGACAACAAAATAAAGGCTACCATTCACTGGCTGTCAGGTTAATGATTCAGAACAGGTCTGTGTGCATTGAAGAACGCATGAGTTAGGGAGTAAAACCAGTATTAATTGCTGCACTAGAGAGCAACACCCTCATTCATCAGTCCCCCACCCACAGCAGAGCAATGCTTTGGCCTCACTGGAAACCAGCGGAGCCCAGCCCAGCAGGTCAGCACACACCAGGTCTGTGGGGGCTCCTGGGGGTACATGGGCTGTACCCTGCCTCATGGATCAGGCAGGAGGGAGCAAAAATTGATGGAGCGATCAACCTCAGCTAGAGGGAGAGGCTTGGAGTCACCACCTGCAACAAAACCCTTCCAAAGCTATGGAAAGCCTCTGGTTCTCCCTTTGAAGGAAGCATTTGGCCATTTCCATATTTTTCCATGCCTAATGTTTCCACAAAAAAACAACCCTACAGCTCCTTGGTGTTTTAAGGACATTCAGGTTTAGGGAGGGTCCCCAGCAACCAGCCAGGCCACAGCCCCCTCAGAGCAAAGGCCGACAGCCTCTTTGTGCTGTGGGATAAGCTCTCCAGCAGCTCTCCTCATGGGCACAGGAAGAAAATGTGCCCACTGGGGATGGCTGCTGCTGCCTGGGGACATCATGGCAGGGACAAGAAGTAGCTGCAGGCACCACCATGGTGCAGGACATATCCACAGGCCTGGCACTCAAGCAAGCACTGCACCACCTCACAGCACAACAGGGTACACCAGGGCCCAGCCCCATCCTCCCCCAGCAGCAAGAAGGGACACACAGGGCACAGCCCCACCACACAGCCACTGCTCTGGGCTGCATCCCCACAGCCCAGGCGGTGAGACACACAAGGCACCAGCTGTCTATAAGCCTGGCTCTAGATTTCCCCACTTCAAGTGAGGTATTTAAGCATGCCAAGCTCTTCTGAAGTTTCTTACATTAAATAGCTTGGATTTAAGAAACACTTCTCACCTGGTGTCTCTGTGGGTCCAACACCAGGGCACCACTGACCCTTCCCAACTTGCCATTGAGCCACAGAACTTTGGTCCCCATCACACAGCACCACCACACCCCAGCCTCACCCAGAGATGGTGCCCCCAGCTTGAGGTCTGCCCCTCATTTATACCCCCCCAGGTCATTAGCAGAGGCTTCACCTGTCCTCAACTCCTCACCACAGGGGCTCCAGCAGTATCCCCCAGCTGTATCAGGCTTGTCAGTCCTTCTGGGCAGCTCACAAGAAATGGGGCTTGGGGAATTATTGGCCCCAAAGTGATTCCCGCAGCTGAGAGCATCACCTGGCTGGGGTGCTGGGAGGATTCAGCATCACGGCTTCCCCAGCATGAAAGGAAAGCTCAGTCCCTGAGGGGTTGTCTCTGATTAGAAGCACCTTACCCATCTTTTAATAAAGCACTTGCTTTATTAAAAGCCAACTATTTTTTCTCTTTCCATGGAGGAAGCTGTGTTAATAAGCAGCTCACTCAGCTGCTCGTCCTGCAGCAGCCGGTGCACTGCAGCCTGCAGGCTGGCAGGAACTGTTGCATGAAATAAAGTAAAAAATTGTAATTAAATAAAGTAAAAGCCTTACCCAGTTGTGCTGCCGTGCTCCCGCTGCATTGCATATCATAGAAGAAATTAGGAAAAAAAATTAATTACTATTGATTTAAGTAAATGTGCTCGCATTATCAGGTGGCAGCAACAAATGGCCAGCCACACCGAAGCCACTTCTCAGAAGCTGCGTAAGCGGCTGCCTGCGATCCAGGCCTCGGTGAGACCTCAGCAGAATCGCTGAGATGAATGGAAACGTTTCATTGTTTTAGCCCAAATGAAAACAGAGCTCATTAACATGATCAAAAACCTTGGTGTCTGCACCTCTGCACTGCTTGCTGGTGCTGCTGTGGTTTGAAGTCCTGACGTGAAAGGGGCTCCTGGCACGTCACAGCGTGGCACAGGTGACAATTTGGCATCACCTGGGGGCAGACCAAGGCCGGTGAGCCAGCGGGCTGATCTCCATGGATGATGGAGGAGACCAAACTCGAGGCACCAAGGCAGGTGCTTTGCTCCACTGCCGAGCCACAGAAATTGAAGAAAATCCCCAACATGATGAATTGGGCATGATGTTGTGGCCACAAGTGCCATCGAGGCCTGGTTTGAGAGAGGTGCCGCTTTCATACTCAAACCTTCAACAAAGCTGACCAGCCTTGGTGCAAGTTTGCTGCAGATCAAGCAATAGGAGATATTTGGGGACTGATAGTTTGAGGACTTGCCTGAAGCAGCCACTCACAGCTGGGCAGATGTCACAGCCCAGCAGCACTCTGGGATGGTTTCAGCCCAAAATCTGGCCAGGTTCAAGGTTCAAGCACAGCAGCTCTGTGCTCCTGGGGCCTTCCAGCTTGGGATCACAAAGCAAAATGGACAATTAGTGATGTGGCCTGGAGAATTTTCTCTTTAAGAGTGAAAAGCAAGCCAGAAATATTGAAAGCACTGTTGAGAATCCCTGATTTTTATGCCTGCAATTTAAAACAAGACTAAAGTAGAGAGACAGACTTTTATAAGTGGCTTCCTCTTAAACTGGCAATGTGTAACCCGGCTTTTGCCTGAGGCACATCTTTGCCTCTTCCCCCCAGGCAATAACTGATTACCACAGAAATCCAGAAACAGCCATAGCAGCTTTAGGAAGTCCTTCTAAATGCTATGGCCACAGTCAACACTCATGTTTTCATCTCAGGCTCAGGCTTCAACTTCTGGCCAATGAGTTTGATATGTGGCTGCCCTGCGTCCTTATTTCAGCGGTGTTGCAAAAATATGAGCCATGCATCTTTAAATAGCCTGGTAAGAGCCTGATCCGGGCACAATTTATGTCGCCCAAGCGTTGGAGCTCCTTCCAGACAGAGCGTGGTTTCTTCTCGGTGCACGCTCACAGCGCTGCTGATGTACAGCCATGGGGTCCCCACGGAGCCCGAGCGTCGGGGTGCTGGCAGCTGCAGGAGGCACTGGGGTGCCGTGGGTCATTTGCACTGATTTATTGTCCTAGAGGAGGAAAAGTAGCACGGCAATTAATTGCAGAGCTTTAGCTGTGGGTTTGTTCTGATTTTATTTATTAGTAATTACAGACTGAGGAAAAATGAAGGATAGCGCGTTGCCACTATCTAAATAACTCCTTTGCCCACTGCTGCTCCTGCACTGATGTGCAGGCCTGTCTGCACTCTCCGAGTAAACTCTTTAAAGATTTAATCAAACAAATTAATCCCCTAACTCGCCTGTTCCCTCGTAGCTGTCATTCAGGACAGCTTATTTTCCCATTTCCAAGAGCCCGATTTCTGCCGAGCGCAATTTTAAATTGAAAAACTCCTTTAAAAACAGCCAGATAAAAGATTTGTTCCCCAAACCAGTTTATAGCCTGGCATTTGCCGTGTATGAAATTGAGATCCATTTCAATCCCACGGCACCGAGCGCTGCTGCTCAGGGTGTGCTGAAGCCGCCGGGGCCCTGCTCCCTTCCCTGCGCCATCTGCCCTGACCTTGGGGACGCCATTTGAACACTCCATGCTGTGCAGTCATCTGTAAAATTAGTCTATTGCTATTTGCCCACCTCCAAAGAGATACAGTGAAGGTCACTGTTCGTGAAACACTTGGAGACTTTCAGGGGAAAACACTTTGTGTCACATCCACCGGTTTCTGACCAGCACCGATGCCCTGGTCCTGCAGATCCTTGTCACCCACAGGAGAGACCCCGCTGAGCTGGGGCGAGGCTGCTGCTGGAGCTGAGGTGCAGCAACACAATGCTGCTTCCTGGAAACTAAACTGTATCATCTTGGCAAACAGCTCTGTCTTTTTAGTCATCATTTGACTTATTTTGCACTAGAAATAGCAAAATAAATGGCCCAGTAACTGCCAAAACTCTCCACGATGTTCGTCTTGTAAATGAGAATGAAACTGAAAAATGTTTTCTTGGTTCTGCCGGCCATTTCCTCTGGAAACAAACTGCCCTACGAACTGCAACAGCCCTGCTTGGATCGGTAGGGAAGGCAGCCCTTAAAATGTGGTGTCCCCAGCAACCATGGAGCCGTGTCATACCTCTGCCTTTGTACCCAGAAGTTTGGGGTTACCTCTGCAAAGAGGTGCCAATAAGTAGAAACTTAAAAAAAGGTGTAAATAGAAAACTTGGCTTTCAGAAAAGCCTGCATTATTTGCAGGGTAAAAATTACCCCCACAGACCTCCTTTGTTATTCAGCATCTTTCAGGCCCTTAATTCCAGCTGCCCCAGAAGCGATGCTGGAGGATGCAGCACCCCCAGGTCCCAGCTCTGCCCAGTGGCACTGGGAGCTGCTGTGCCACAGCCCAGGGCATTGAAACATTTGGGGGAAAAGGGAAAAACTGGGAGCAAATGGAGATGAAACCAGTGCAGGACCATGAACAGGCACCCCAGCATGACACCGATTCCCCCCACCCCGCATAGACATCGCTGTGTCATTAACCTGAGCTTGGCTTTGAACCAGGGCTGTAAGGGTTTATACAAGTAGTAGCTAAAAGGCATTTAATAGAACACTGCAGCCAATAAGCAATGAATTATTTAGAATATTTTACTAAGAATAATTGCTGTTTTTAAAGTGATTTTTTTCCCCCATCCTCCCTGGGGCCTGTAAATGGTATCACAGTAGTAATAATGAGTAAGAAGAAAAAAAAACTAAAATACAGAGCCACCCAATAGTGGCTGCCTGGGATCAACTAAATCATGATGCAAAGGAGAAACTAAGCATCTCAAATGTGGTTTCAGCCTGTGTTTATTAATTAAAGCAAATACACAACCGCAGACAACAAAGCAAGCGCATTGCCAAGAGTCAGACTCACAGCTCGGCTAGCCCAGGCAGGATGGAGCACACTCTCACGCTTCTAATATTTATTATAACTCCCCCAAGATGCTAAAGAGCTGTTCCCCATGCCCTGGGGGGAGCCAGCACCCAGTGCTGCTATGCCATGTGCAGAGCAGCACCCACAGAAGTTGCAGCTCATGCCCTAGTCAGAGATGGGAGGCCACGGCCCAGCAGAAGGCTGTTTGGATTTTTTTTTCTTTTCTTTTTTGTCAGGGGGCATCACGGGGACAGCAAGGCTTCTGCCTGGAGGCCTGATGCTGGTCACTTTAGCCTGGAGAAATGAAGTGAAGGGCGATGCTCAGCCCCCCCAGCCTGGTCCTGCCCCAGCCCAGGGATGCTGTGCCTGCCCTGAGCCCCTCTCCTGCAAACTCAGCAGCAGCTGCTTGCACACACAGCAAAATGGGTTTATTTATGTGGCATTCCAGGCTGGGAGCACTGCTAGGAGGCGTACGAGGGATCGGGGATCAGAGAGCAGCTGCCCAAAGATTTAAGAGAGGGGTTACACCTGAGCAGGGATGCTCCTGGCATTTTTTTATTTTTTATTTTTTTTTGCAAATTCACCCCTTCCAAACTCCTGGGCTGAGAAACCTCTCTCTTCCTTCACAGGTGGGTAGGATATGCTTCCCTCAGGACACAGAGTCCCACAGAGAAAGGTAAAACAAATTCACCTCCAAAAACTTGGTTCAGAAGCTCTGAGGCCTTTTCTAGTTGCCAGTCCCTGAATTACAAATGTTTCCTCTAATTAACAGTGCCCCGCTCCTCCGGTGTCTACTAATGACAAGCTCTGGCCAAAAGACCTCGAGCAAGATGCTCTCTATTGATCCCTGCATTGATTTTTTATCTTTTCCCCTGTTGTTATCGTACATGCAAATGGATGGTAATGACTCAACATTACGAGCGCTCTCTCCAAGTGATGTTTGGGAAAGGCAATTTGGTGCAAGGCCTCACGAGGCTGTGCCCCCTCCGTGCCCCCGCTGAGCCCTCTGCTCCCAGCCTCACATACGGTTCCATTTTTTTCTGCCCAAAACCGTGCCGAAGTGCAGGACCAAACTGAGCACCCTGTGGGGCTCTAATTAGATGGATTAAGAGCAAATATTTATTCCTTCCACTGGGTTTACTGGTGTCAGAGCTCACTTTGCCCGGATGAAATAACATGCTGGGTGACACAGCGAGGCAGCACAGGAGCACGACCAGAGCTGGGAAGGGAGGTCCTCTCAGGAAGGGGTTT